GGGAAATGCCTAAAACTTGTAGGGCCTGGAGGACCAGTGCTAAAACACACTGGATTCGACGTTGACATTTCATTTATTTGATGTCAACCACAAAACAACATTGATTCAATGACACAGTTTCAACATTAGTTAATTGGCTAGAATTGAATGGTTGTTTTATAGTTGATACACCATCAGTTGTAGACATCAACCAAACATGAAACCTTTGTGATGATAATTCAACATTGAATTAATATATTTTCCAACAAGCCAGCAGCGAAGCAGCTGTGTGTTTGGGACATCCCACTCATGTAAACGGTGGGGGTGGACCCCTCCACTCCNTGNANTAAGTTGTAGATGTTTTTGTGTCAATATATCACACACACACACAGTCAGTGAGAATTGTTATGAACAAGTAAGAAAATGTACAGAAAGGAATCACCACCGACTATCATCTGCAGTGGTTAATTTCAATGTGATAACCCCCGCTCAGTAATAAAATGCTCTGACCTCTGGGTCAGCGCTGATGAGGAGGAGAGGAGGGGAAGGGGTGTGGCAAAAGAGCTGACATTGATTCAACATTGATCAGATGTTGATCAGACATCAGCATTTCAGTCATTAGATTTCAACCACAAAACAACATTGATTCAATGACACAGTTTCAACATTGGTTACTTGGCTAGAGGTGGATGGTTGTTTGATGGTTGATCCACCGTCATTTGTCGACTTCAACCAAAAATCAACGATTCTATTTTTCAACGTTGATTTAACATCGTGTGCTATCTGGGTTGTCATGGAGAAAATAATGTTTGTGCTAAAATCTGCAGTAGTTATTAGCCACAGCTAACTGTAAAGTCCACCTCACTTACCACTAAGAATCTTAGCTAAGCTAATGCTAAACACATAATAAAATTAGCAGAAGCTAATGCTAACAGTAACATGAAAGTGTCTCTTCTTCTCCTGCTGATGATGGTGTGAGAATCGCTAACTGTCCTCCATCGTCACTGCCAAGCAGTTTGAACAGGAGGAACAAAGAGGAAAACATCCGAAGAGACACAAACTTCACCCGACGCGCGAAGCTCAACAACGGCCATCTTGATGGCCATCATCCGGAAATTTCAGTGGCTGATGGGAAAATTGAAAAACATCCGACCTGATTCCGCTGTTGGTTCTGGAATCGGCCCGGTCGGCTGGTGGGGCGTGGTTCTGACTCGGCTCTATCTGTTATCTGGCTGTGAGCCTCTCTGGATCAGAACCAGCGGAAAAAGCATGTGGCTGCCAGCGGCGGCAGTTAAACAGTTTGGTTTAATTTCATGATTTTAAGTTGGTGTAGATAAAGTGATGCAAAATATTTTATGTTTATTATAAGTTGTGCAGAGGTTACCGGAGTGGAACCAATGTTTAACTTGTTGTTCCATTTAGGCACATATTTTTAGTTGCATGCTTTATTTTTTCTTAATTGATGGAGAGGTTTGGTGAGACACCGAGGCTCGTGTAGCTGGGCTGCAACAAGAGGCTACATGGAGTTTCTGTCTTAACCCTTTCAGGTTGAAGCGGCCGAGGAGGTTCACATTTTCGTATTTTAGTTTGTTTGTAAATAGAAGAATGTTTTTTTGAAGAATTTGTCGAGTTTGTTAGCCACGTGTTTTAAAGGTGACATGATGAGTCTGTTTTTTGTAAGTCAAGCCACTTTATTGTAAATGTTTTGCTGTAGTAGCTGTGTATTCTCTATGTGAAAGTCTTTCTGTAAAATGTAATTCAGTGATTTTTGAGAATAGGGACAAAACAGGTCCTATGGATAAAGCACAAAATTTGAATAAAATATACACAAAATATATTTTTTTCAAATATCTGACTAAACTAGTCTGGGTCATATGAGCACAACAACGTATGTTTTCCTGGTATTTGCTGAATATTTTCATTTTAAACATTGTAGTCGGTGGATGATGCCTGTAAATTCCCTTGTCCAGGAGCAGAACTCAATACATTATAATAGTTTAAAATAATTAAAGAAATACTAAAATTATATATTATGACAATTAAGTATAAGTAGTCACATAAATAATTATAAAAGTAGCAATAAATTGAATTAAAAATAATTTTTAGATATTTTCCAACTTCGTTTAAATTTGTCCCTAGTTTTTGTCAACACCGTCAGAAATGAAAAGAATGTAAAAAAAAATCAGGCATTATTGGGGGGCACCAGAACTTCAGAGGACCCCATGATCTCTTCCTTTCTCTTCCTTTGCTAAGAGGGCTAGTTAGCTCTGGTTAGCTTATGCTATTCTCCAGTTTTTTCTTCTGTTTTATTCCTAAGTTGCTTGTCACAACCATGATGTGTCAACTCCATAAGTGACCATTTACAAAACTTTGATGACATTTTGTGAAATAAAAGCTTAATTTTGGTTTAATGTAAAGATTTCATGGACCTGATGAGCTACAATATGGCCTCCTTCAGAATAATTAGGAATACTTACATTTTTGGGGGGAGAGGGTGGATTTAAACCCATTTTGTCC